GGGACCAGACCGGGACTGAGATCAGGACTTAGACCGGGACCAAGGACTGAGTCTGGGACCAGGACCGGAACTGAGACCTGGACTGAGACAAGAATTGAGACCAGGATTGAGACAGGGACCAGACCAGCCCGGGATGGGGACCAAGACTGGGACTGGGACCAGACCAGGACTGAAAACAGTTTAGACCTGGTTCAGTCCGGCATCGCAATTTAAGTCACGTAAACGGGAAACGGTCTTTATCGTTTTTTTCCCATTTTTTTTGTTAAACCCAAAATCAAAAACTGAAAAAACGAATCATTACCTGTTTTTTTCATTTTGGTTTTGGAGACAAATAATGAAGAAAATAGTTGTTTTTTTTCGTTTCTTATTTTTGGTTTTATTTTGAAAAATATTTATATAATCTCTATTAAATAACACCAACCCAACCCCCCCCCACTCCTCTCTGCCACACAGTAAATGGATAAAAGTTATTGAACTGCCAAACCTTTGGATATTGGGTGAGCGTCTGTACAAACGTATACAGCTGCCACTTGCTTTCTAAAAAACAGTGCTACAAGCGAAGTGAAAAAAGAGGAGGATTAACTGTCGGTGGTGACTTCAAACTGCCACACCCTCCTCTCACCACAGACACTTGAGTCTGCCCTCAGCCGCCAAATGCATCTGGGATTCTGTGGAGCCGAGACAAAACATGATCTCCAAAGTAAACAATAGAAAAATCAATGCAGAAAACTAAAGTTATCAGACTTTAGAGGAGGTATTCAAGCTTTTGGAGCTTTCTACCAAGTTACAATGTTATTCCCTCATTAAAAACCTGCCTGAAGAGGTTTAACATGTCATCTGTGCATGTTTGAGTAATTTAGCGATCTCTCCTAGGCTTTATTCAAACCCTCCTTACTGTTAGCTGTAAGATTCTGTGCAGGGGTCAGTCCACACGACAATTACAACAAAATACAAAACAATAACTACAACATTATCCAAAATGGAACATCACATCAGGTTTGTCAACTAAATGTAAAATAAGGCTCTAACATCTCATCACAAACACACCTGGAGTTGTGTTTTGTTTCATTCACATTCACCTCTCAAACCCAAAAACACTCTGTTCCACCTTGTGATGTCATGTGGTCATACAGGAAGTGGTCCATTGTGTTTTAAACTCCACACACCTTCACTAGAATCACTCAGATACTTTCTGACCTGGAGTTGCTAATCTTTACTGAACTAAGGGTAAAAGAAGCTGCTAACTTGAAAATTACCACTTCATGACATCACAAGGTGGAACTGAGCATTTAGCGCTTTAAACATGTAGACAGAGTAATAAACCAGGATTACTCAAACAAGTGTCGATGGATAAAAACACAACTCCAGGTCTCACCAGCATGTGTCTTTTTTTGAATACCGCAATATGGGCACTAGGCAGGTAGATCTATTTAATGCCACACTGTGGAATATGTAACAATAACCAAAATATCATAATATCGTATCGCCAAAGTTCTCACAATAATATCGCGGACTGTCTCAATATATCGAATTACAAGTCTCTTTGCAATAGGTGAGTTTCATTGTTGACAAAAGCGCGTGTTGCATGCTGGGAATTATTTTGGTCGGCGGCAATAAACACTAATTCAACATGACGGACGGAGCGAGAAAGCACGTAAAGGGTATTGATCCCGGTTATTTATCCACTCTAACGGCAGAGGACCCAAGACCATTTGACCAGAAATTGGTCATAAGCATCGACGGACGACAAATCACCCTTTTCAACCCCAACAAAAGGTGGACCAAACCAAATTTCTGGTCAGAATCTCCAACTACCTGGACAAATATTCACTTTGGCGATATCCACAGTGACTTGGTGGAAACTCCTGGGCCATTCACAGCAGAAAAGATGAAAACCTCCAAGAGTCTCGATGTGTTGTTGAACTTGTTGGAGTCCACGGTTTGTTAGGATCTTCTACGTTTGCTCTGCGGATGTTTGAAAGCCGTTTAATTCACCGTTAGCGGTTCTTTTCACTCAGAATACGAAAAAGACATTTTCCTTCTTCCGTGCTTACGCGAGGTTACGCACTGTGTTTGACGCTACCGTGTTTCTTGCCTCCAACCAAAATATTTCACAGCATGCAACGCAGGCTTTTAATAACAATGACGTCATCTGAAACTCACCTATAACTACAGAAAGACAGAAGGAACTACATGACCATGATCCTTTGCTCCATTTCAGTGCAGACTACAAGAAGAAATAACAGTTCTAACAATTTTCAGTCTTTGGATTAAGTCTTGTCAAGCTATTTTAAGAGGAAAAAGCAGCATATTAACTGTTTTGTTCTCCACATAATATCTCGTACAGTGAGATGCATATCGTGAAAATATCGCACCGAGAGATTTGGATATTGTTACACTACCGTTCAAAAGTTTGGGGTCATCCAGACAATTTGTGTTTTCCATGAAAAGTCACACTTCTATTTACTACCATGAGTTGTAAAATGAACAGAAAATATAGTCAAGACATTGTCAAGGTTAGAAATAATGATTTGTATTTGAAATAATAATTTTTTCCTTCAAACTTTGCTTTCGTCAAAGAATTCTCCATTTGCAGCAATTACAGCATTGCAGACTTTTGGCATTCTAGCTGTTCATTTGTTGAGGTCATCTGGAGAAATTTCACCCCACGCTTCAAGAATCCTCCCACAAGTTGGATTGGCTGGATGGACACTTCTTGTGTACCGTACGGTCAAGCTGCCCTCTTCTCTTTCTATTCTACTTAGAGCCTTTTTGTGCTGTTCTCTGAAGGGAGTAGTACACACCGCTGTAGGAAATCTTCAGTTTCTTGGCAATTTCTTGCATGGAATAGCTTTCGTTTCTAAGAACAAAAATAGACTGTCGGACACCTTACTGCAGGGGTGCTCAATACGTCGATCGCAATCTACCAGTCGATCGCCAAGGTCGTGTGGGTAGATCGCCGTGTCTCGTCTCGGACTCGATCGCGTTTGGACTCGGTCTTGTCTCTCACTCAAGGTCTGACACTCAACAAGTGTGATCATATTTCATTGCGGCCGCTGCTGTTGGTAATAAACTTGTAGCGGGTGCAGGAGCGTGTGGGGCGTCTCAGTGCAGCCTGTGCGCTCATTTGAAACCCGCAGAGACTCTACGGCACATCACAAACACACACGCTCCCTATGCACGGCTCGTCTGCGACAGCGTGTGCCCTCGTGTACCAGCGTGCATCACAGGGCAGGTTCAACTTCCTAAACATCCTACCTGTCCATCTGCCTCACGTCAGCACGCCGCCCCTCGCCTTTTCACGCTCTCGCTCCTTCCTGCGTACAGCCAACACAAGCCCCTCCCACAGTGCGGCTGATTAGAAGAGCAAGACCAAACGTGAAGCAAAAACCAGTCTAAATTTGTGTTCCAGTGTTGGCACAAAGCAGGTCTACAGCATAGAGCAGATCTACAGAACAGACCTACTGCCACATTTGGCTGAAGTTTGTCTAACAAAAGTGCACAAATGCATCTGTGTTTGTCATGACGTGCTTTTGGTTTGGTAAACGTGCAGAGGCTGGTAAATATCACTGCAAAACCAGAAAAGAATGTAACTCCAGTTTGGAACTTTAAAAAACAGGTTTAAAAATCTTCCTTCACTTTTTTCACAGTTTTGTGTAAAGTGCCAGAGGAAGTTCTCTTAAAGAAGAGGTTCTCAAACTGTGGGTCAGGGTCCAAAAAAGGGCCACAGAGTGTTTCAGTGCAGTTTGCTTGGCTTTGTATTAGGTAGATCTTTATGACTTGGTCATTTTGTAAGTAGCTCACATGCTGAAAAAGTGTGAACACCCCTGCCTTACTGGGAATGGGGGGTGGGGCCTCGACAGTGATCTAGTTTCACCTCGCAACCTGTGCACATGGCTTCCCACTTGTCCCAACCGGGATGGAAAATGGAGAATTTCTTGTACAAGCCATTGTTAAATGTGCATTTGGGCTTCGGCGTGTTGCAGATTGTAGCTCTCTGCACTCAGAAGGAGCGAGCAGAAAGCTACGAGAGATGCTCAATTTAATGGCCTCAATGAAAAGAAATGAAAACCCAGACATTTCCTTTTTTTTTTTTTTTTTTTTTTTTTTTTTAATGATTTATGTTTATTTGTATTTTTACACAAACCTGAACGTGGGTTTTTATTTTATTTACCTTGGAAAAAATGTGCAAATCAGTAATTTCTTGTTCAGTCTCTTGGCAAAAACAGTTTAACAGATGTACAATGTTGACAAGAGCAAAGACACTTAAAAGAAAATAAATAAAATACAAAACATTTTTATTAATCCTTGCAAAATGACACAGAAACTAAACTGATCATTTTTCAGATCAAGCCAGGACCACTGCCCTTTACAAGTGTTTCCAAGAAAAAAAAAAAAATATGGCCCCCAAAGTAAAATTGTTTCCCTTGTGGTCTAAAAAAGAACAAAACATAAGGAAAACAAATTGTACTATATTTTGAATATACTATACCAGGCATGTCCAAACTATGGCCCGGGAGCAAAATGCGGCCCTCAGACAAATTTTTCTTGGCCCTCAGGCTTCCAGGTGAAATGACCCAAATTACCTTGCATCAATTAAAAATGTATTTTTTACTGCAAGTTTTTTTTGAAAATCTACCTTGATAAAGCTAATCTTTAATGTTTAGTGTGTGGTTTTAAGGATCTTAGTATGAATAAAGACTGATGGCTCATTCTAACGTCTTAAACATGCACACATTTCAATTGTTCACTGTACTGAGCACCAGTCTACGACCCTGGATCGGCCCTCTGCTTCATCTGTGTTTAGATATGTGGCCCTTGATGAAAAAAGTTTGCACACCCCTGTACTATACCATCACTTAAAAAAAAAATTAAAAAATGGACGCTCAGGACAGGACGCAAAAAACGGACATGTGCAGGGAAAAACAGACGTTTGGCCACCCTACTGAGACGTGTTTCTTGTGCCCTTGGTGTTCTAGTTTGTGTGTTGTGGTACTCACCCTGATGAAGATGAGGGCGCTGGAGTCGCCCACCTTGTACTTGCCCTCGGACACTTTGATCATGGGGAACTGAGCAGGACAAGAGCAGCGGCCCAGGATCTCACGCACCTGCAATACACACAAACACACACACACACATACAGCGTCAGTAGAGTTTATGACAGACTGCAAAACTCTGGTCTGATGGTCTCATTTTATTTATTTATCTTTTTTAACTTCAGTGTAATAGTGTGTAAATGTATGATAATTTAATTTAATGTAATTTTATTTTATTAAATTTATTTACTTTATATCTTTTATTTATTTTATGTATTTTTTTAAATTTGTATTTTTATTTTATTTATTTTAATTTTTTTATTAATCAATTCTAGTTTTATACACATACATATATTTACATATATATATATATATATATATATATATATATATACATACATACATATATACACACATATACACATATTTTCCCCCCTTTTATGGTCGTACAAACTAATAATAGTGTTAACGAAGGCAAAAAAGTTTATCGCTTGTGATCGTGCGAAATAAACTACAATGAAAAAATAAATAAATAAATTTTTAAAGTAAGGACATTTTGTTTTCATTTACAGTCGTGCAAACTAACACTAACATTAATGAAGGCACAAAGGTTTATTGTTTATCATTGTACAAAATAAATTTACTGTTACAGAAATTTTAAAGAAGAGCATGTGTTTGATAGTTAATGGTCATATATTTTTTTGTTTTGGTCTGATGGTCTCATTATTAAAAGGTTCTACATTATTACACAAAACTGACTCTTGTGAGCTTTAAGTCACGTTATAATACTGTTACCTCATCAAAAAACACACCTATAGTTGCGTTTTGTTTCATTCACATGTTTGAGTAACTCTTTAATTTTAGTCTGTCTACATCTCCAAAGCTCTAAATGCTCAGTTCCACCTTGTGATGTCATGAAGTGGTAGTTATCTAGCAATCGCAGACCTTTTACTTTTTGTTCTGTACAGATTGACAATTCTGGAAGTGAAAGTATGTGTATGGAGTTTTAAAACAGCGAAGCATTTCTTATATCACCACATGACATCACAAGGTGGAACAGAGTTTTCAGTTTGAGAGAAGAACTTGTGCTAAATGTGCAAGTTTGTGTGTTAAACATGTAAATAAAACAAAACACAACTCCAGGTGTGTTTGTGATGAGGAAACAATATTAGAACAGATCAGAAGAGAAAACAGTGCACCAGGGAACTCTTCTTAGTACACCTGTTCAACACATGAGCGGTGGACTGTGTTGGGGAGTAACTGATTACATGTACCAGCGTTACGTAATCCAAGTACAAATTACGAGTAACTGTATTCGGTCCACTCATTACCGGAAACCCAAACCGAACGTGACAATAATAGCGATGTAAATGTCTTGTTAAGGTTGGTGGTGTCGGTCACACTATGGACGAGGTCGAGGAGCCAGTACAACAGAACCAACAGAGCACAGGCAAAAAACACATTTGTGTCATTGAAATTCAGACGTCACTTTGTATTTAAGGAAGAGAGGGACGGGCGTGTGGTGGGCGAGGTACACGTACATGACATATAAATAAATATACTGCACTTCCTCCTGTGCGCCTCCAAACAAGAACTAACACCAGGACTAAACCAGGACTAAACCAGGACTAAGCCAGGACTAAACCAGGACTAAACCAGGACTAAACCAGGACTAAACTAAGTCTAAACAATATGACACTTAACAGTAGGATAGAGAAATGATTTCGATATGAGATCACTGCTGCCTTCAGTTATGTCCATCAATCATATTTTTATTTGTTTAAGTAAAGACTGGACTTTTGATTTTCTTTTAGCAGATAAAACAAAACATCTTATGTTAAGATTCTCATCTTTTCTTCTCTACAGTAAACAAAAGTCTGTTCATGGAGACTTGGGCTCAATTTGAAGAGAACAAACATGAATTTTCAGGATGTGGTTGCTACATTCATGTAGTTTTAAAAAGCATGACAATATCAAGTAATCCAGAATACTCAGATTACATTACTCACTTTAAGTAATTTAATGGATTAAGTTACAAACTACAGTTTGGGGTATGTAATCTCTAATCTGTAGGGGAATCCATTTGAAAAGTCACCTTCCCACCACATGTCCAGTGGAACAATACTTTTTGGGCTCAGTATTTATTGTGAGGACTTTTCTTTGTGCCAGTGGGAAAATGTTTGACTATGATGAGATCTGAGCCGCAGAAGGACAAATAATGAACTTGCATGACTCATTATTGATAAAAACAAAAAGACTAATAATTAATAATAATTAATTAATAATTAAAGACTAAATAATAACTACTCAAAAGTGCATTGTGTAACTTTTCTGGTGGAGTCAAACACTTTTTCTCCATGGAGATGTTATTGCTTTGTCTGGAATGTTTCACAGTATGGCATTAAACGTTTCTATCTTCATGGAGACCAGGTCAAACAAAGTTTAATTTCTCTTTATTTTTGAGCTATAAAACTCCCTGTAATTGAATAAATGTAAGTTAGAGCTGTTTAATGTCACACTGTGGAACATTCCAGGCAGAGCAATGACAAATACTTCTAGAATACTTTTTGTTCTTTAATTCTGCTTCCTGGTTTGGTTTCAATATCACTGTATCAGAGGCATTTTAGGTTTAAAACTCAGTTCCCCACTACACTATATTCACTCTGTTGATGTGCTCTTGGGCAAGACACTTCACCAGACTCCACCGCTCGCTGCTGGTACTGAACCGCTAAGCTTCGGGTTAATGGGCGACTGTCTGTACCAATTAAATTACAGCTGCCAGTTTATTTCAAGTGCGCTACTAAACGCCGCTAAAAATACTCAATGAAAGAAGTGAATGATGTTTCCACGGCGACGCCCACTCATCCCGGGGCCACATCTGACGGACATGTTACTTTCCCCTCCACCCCAACAGGACCGTGTATTTTTAACTCGCATACAGACTCACACACGCCACTTATTTACACGATATAATGGAGAGTTTGGAGCGGCCCGTTTGTTTTGGTCTGTGACATCATCGTACAGTGAGGTCATGTGCGCCAGTCATGGGAGAGACAGAGAGAGGAAGAGAGAGAAGAGGAGAGGGGGAGAGAGGGAGAGAGAGGAGAGAGCGAGAGAGAGCGGGAGAGAGAGGAGAGAGAGGAGAGAGGAGGAGAGAGAGAGAGAGAGGAGAGAAGAGAGGAGAGAGAGGAGGAGAGAGAGAGAGAGAAGAGAGAGAGAGAGGAGAGAGAGAGGAGAGAGGAGAGAGAGGAGAGAGAGAGAGAGAGAGAGAGGAGAGAGAGGAGAGAGAGAGAGAGAGGAGGAGAGAGAGAGGAGAGAGAGAGGAGAGAGAGGAGAGAGAGAGAGAGAGGAGAGAGGAGAGAGGAGGAGAGAGAGGAGAGAGAGCGGGAGAGAGAGAGGAGAGAGAGAGAGAGAGAGAGGAGAGAGAGGAGAGAGAGAGAGAGAGAGAGAGAGAGAGAGAGAGAGAGAGAGAGAGAGAGAGAGAGAGAGAGAGAGAGAGAGAGAGAGAGAGAGAGAGAGAGGAGAGAGAGAGAGAGAGAGAGAGAGAGAGAGAGAGAGAGAGAGAGAGAGAGAGAGAGAGAGAGAGAGAGAGAGAGAGAGAGAGAGAGAGAGAGAGAGAGAGAGAGAGAGAGAGAGGAGAGAGAGAGAGAGAGAGAGAGAGAGAGAGAGAGAGAGAGAGAGAGAGAGAGAGAGAGAGAGGAGAGAGAGAGAGAGAGGAGAGAGAGAGAGAGGAGGAGAGAGAGGAGAGAGAGAGAGAGAGGAGAGAGAGGAGAGAGAGAGAGAGGAGAGAGAGGAGAGAGAGAGAGAGAGAGAGAGAGAGAGAGGAGAGAGAGAGAGGAGGAGAGAGAGAGAGAGAGAGGAGGAGAGAGAGAGAGGAGAGAGAGAGGAGAGAGAGAGAGAGAGGAGAGTGGGAGAGGAGGATAGAGGAGGAGAGAGAGGAGGAGAGAGGAGAGAGAGAGAGAGAGAGAGAGAGAGAGAGGAGAGAGTGGGAGAGAGCAGGAAAGAGCAGGAGAGAGGAGGAGGAGAAAGAGGAGTGAGGGGGGTGAGAAGGGGTGAGAGGAGGAGAGAGTGAGGGAGAGGGAGGAGAGAGGGGAGAGGACGGGGAGAGGACGGGGGAGAGAGGAGGAGAGAGGGGAGAGGACGGGGGAGAGAGGAGAGAGAGGAAGAAAGAGCAGGAGGAGAGAGGGGGAGAGAGTGAGGGGAGAGGGGGAGGAGAGGGGGGCAGGAGGGTGGAGCACTTTCGGTGCCAGCTCTTTAGACCAGTGTGTGAGACTTGAGAGAGGGAGAGGGAGGGGCAGGGGGAGCGGGCATGTTTGTGTGGGCATCGTGCCAAAGGTGTGTGCACTGGTTGAATGGAGAAAGAGGAGGAGAGGAGGGGAGGAGGGGAGGAGGGAGGAGGGGAGAGGGAGAAGGAGGAAGGGGGCATGGACGACCGGAAGACAAGGAACAACATGATAAGATGTGAGGCTGAGGGTCACACATTGTGAACACAGTTTTCTTTTAGATCCTTTTGAAATCTTGTTGGAGCCCTGATAACAGCAGCAGAACATGGCTGGAGCAGGTACTGCGCCACCTGCTGGCAGCTGTGGGGAGGACGGGGGGTGAAGCTTTTTTTAATGAGGTTAAAACATAGAGCTAAAATCAAATCTGGAAGCTGAATCCAAGACTGTGTTGTACTGTTTTCAGTGGCCCCAAAAAAAATTTTCTCTTGCGTAATCCTCTTGTATAAAGCTGTGATTTTATATTTTATTACTGTATCTTTCTATTTTATTTTGACATGTACATTTACATTTATATAATTCTGTCTTATTTGACACCTGGCTCTTGTTCTTTTTGCTCTTTATACAGAATTTATCTGTATAATTTTTTTGATATTTTTGCTTTTCTATTATTGTGATGTGTGAGCTGCTGTGTCCAAATCATTTCTCTTGTGGATCAATAAAGTTTGTCTAAGTCTAAGTCTATTTACTTCCTCATTAGGCGCTAGCACCTCCCACTCGTCTAACGTTGAGGATTAAAAAATTAAAAAAAGAATCCAACAAAATCGGCCTTTTGTAAAAGTTGTTGATTCC